TTCAAGGAAAGCTGCTTCTTTTCGGGATAAGAAAACCTGTTCTGTCTTGGATCTGGCAGAACTTTCCATCTGAACTCAATCTGATTTAAAAGAATCCGAAGACCGCCAAGAATGAGAATTGCCATTGGCAAATTCATCCACATAGACTTACTTGTATCTGCATAAGACCACGAAAAAGAAGAAGAGATTAGCAATGACCAAAAACATATATAATGATTAAAACTTGACTGCAAAACATGAAGACAGTAAGTAAACAAACATTTCAAATATCAAGTATAGAGGTTTTCTGAGTTCCAAACTGATCTTAAAATTCAAGACATATGAAACTAACAAACACAGAATATCTTGATTATAAGAACAAAGAAGAGGAGGAAAGGTAGGAGATTGACATACGGGTCAAGAAGTAGGTGACTGAGAAGATGCATAAAGCCCACCATAAGGTCCGTACTTTGGCTTCCTCGATCAGATCCTGTATAGTCTCCATCGCCTTCATCGAAATTACCAATCCAATCTTCAGGAAATTCGATCTAAATTTCTTGGTAACCCTAGCTTTACTGTCAATTGCGCAAACTCGAGAAGGGTACGAGGTCTTTGCGATTTGAATCAATTAGTGGTGATCGAACATGGTGGATTCTTCGTTTTTCTACCTATCCGCCTTTCTTTATTTTTGCTGGATTTGTTCGTCTTAGAAATAAAAAACAAGGAAAATAGACTGCCGTGACAATTTCTCCGGACATTCCAACCACATCAATGCGGTGCCGTTTGCACGCGGGTGCAAGTGCTATAGCTTACAATTTTTCATGAGCATGATCTAAGTTTTTAGATTCATTTAATAAATCAATCATATCATCTACTCTATTAAAATAGAGTCATTCTTTTTATCTACTGATACAAGTTGTCATTTAAATTTGAACTCTTTCTATAATGCTACAAATAATATAAATCATATAATTAATTGAACCGTATTACTTAAATTAAACCAACACAATTAATATAAAGAGCCTTAATGTAAACTACCTTCAAAATATGGCAGGTATCTATGTGTATACCAAAAACACATATTTTCTCTTACAAATATGGAATGTTCTAAAAGAATATATATTATCAAAATATGGAATATGAAAATCTACTAATCTTATATATTAAAACAGAAGTCATGACTTGATTTCATGTGTGATTTTTTAAAAAATGGACTGTTACTAGAAAGTTATGTTACATTAACTCTCTAATAATATTATCATTATTTTATCTTATAATATGCTTAACAATTTTGTTTTGGTAAATTACCCCACACCTTCCAACTTAGTCACGCAAAATATGTCAATAGATANACAGAAGTCATGACTTGATTTCATGTGTGATTTTTTAAAAAATGGACTGTTACTAGAAAGTTATGTTACATTAACTCTCTAATAATATTATCATTATTTTATCTTATAATATGCTTAACAATTTTGTTTTGGTAAATTACCCCACACCTTCCAACTTAGTCACGCAAAATATGTCAATAGATATAAATTTAGGAATCTTATATTATTTATAAGGAAATATGTCAATAATAGTTAAATGCATCCAGAGTATATTAACAAAAATCACAGATTATTAATATGTAATATTTATATACCTTAACAAAATTTACACGTTATATATATTAGATAAATTTATTTCGATGTAAAATTTTAAAATTGTACTGTTTAAAAAAAGAAAATGTTTTAAAAGTTCCTTTTTAATAAAATTTTTATAATATTAATTTATGAAGCTATAAGTTTAGCTTTTAGCAAAAAATTCTTCGAAGTTTATATTATCTTTGCAAATTAAATTACACTAATATTTAATCAAGCTCTATTTATATTACTTTATCTAAAAATGAAATACTAATCTAACTAACAATAAAATATAGAAGAAGAAACAAACACTTGTTTGAAAGTCATGTATAATATAGAAAATTTGAAACAATCTATTTGATTAAAACACTTATTATATAATATTATTATGTTTGAAAAACATTTACTATACATATCGTAAATATGTGATTAATATAATATATACCAATTTACAAGTGAAAACAAAATGCTTATATAACTATAAACGAAAACAAACATCCGCGCGGTTGCGCGGGTCAAAATCTAGTTATACTTAAATTAAACTAGTGGTTATTAATGAAATATAGTCTTGGGTTTACTTTTATTTTTTGAACAAATTATATAGTTTGGTTTTCTGGCTTAATATTAAGAAAAAACTCCAAAAACATTGAATAAACTTTTCACCTTAAAAGATCAAAAAATCAATTATTATTTTCAGCCCAAAAGGTATTTAATATTTTTAACAGAATAAAATTATCTATTATCAATCATTTATTTAAATCATGTACTTTAAAACATGTTAATATATTTTTTATTTTAAATAACAATCACTTTCTTTTGATAAATTGCAATGGTAATTTTTAAATAATTTATTATTTTATTTTTCTTAAATAATTTACTGATTTAAAAAATGTAAAGCAAAACCAAAAACCAAATCTAAAAACTAAAATCCAAAACCAAAAGTTGAAAACACATGTTATATTTTTTTGCTTTGTTTATTTACAAAATAAACTATTTCAAATTTTTTTTTAAAAAATTGCTATCATCTTTTCAGTTTTAAATTAGATGTTCAATTATTTGAGATTTGTTTGTTGGTAATATTAGTTCAAATTAACTCAGCGGGTTTAAAAATTAAAAACTCAAACCAAAAACTGAAAATGAAAAGTAGAAACTTAAAAACTAAAAAACAAAAACCAAAATCTAAAAATAAAAACTGAAACTAAAAACTAATGAAAAACAATCTTCACCACAAATTTTGGTGAACTGATTTTATATCAAAATATTCTTTAAATTAAGACAAAACCCAATTATATAAATTATTAATCATAAAAATTTTCCGTGCTTTCAAGCGCGGGTCAAAATCTAGTAACCAATAAAATAAACTTTTTGAGATTTCGGAGACCGTCCACATCAACATAGAAAGTGTCCACATAAGAAGATGCCACGTGACATTATACTATTATTTCCAATTACATACATTATTACCATATAATATTACCATATAATTTTCTAACAATTAAGAGAAGATTCTTTATAAATCTGATGGGTCTTCAAGTTTCATCCTTAACAAAAAGGTCTATGACCCATCATTATTTGTTTACTTAGGCCTTTATGTCTATAAACTTACATCATCACCATTCCTCAACGCTTCTTCTTCCTTAAATCCCACCACGTCTAAAACTTCCAAACCTTTTGGACGGCCGCAACAAAAGGGTTACAAATTTTCTCCTGTCCACATCCGATCGTGAGGCTATTCGATTCGGTCTCCATAATTCTTTTGTATCAAGGCACTGTTTTAGGTTGTTTCTCCATTTACTTTTGAGACAGGAATCGACAGTGATAACTTTGTTCATTACGTCTACACTTAGCTTGAGCCAGATACTCAATTTAAAGATAAATGTGCAATTAGGTAGTCAGCGCTATTGCCTTTTACAGGTTAGATAAATGTGCCGTTTCTTTTTCCTCAAATGTCGCCATTTGTAAAACTCTCAAACCTTCCGGTCAGCCACAACAAAAGGGCAGCTACGTCTTCCAATTCCCGATAATACTGCCACGGCCAGTTGCATGTCATCGTTTTGGCTGTACATTCCATTTTTGAGCTGCGACCAAAGGCTAACAAGTCATTGAATCAGCTTCTATGGAACTTTTGTAAGCTCTAATTACTCTCAATTTAGTACTCAATGATTCATGGTTTCGTTCTTGATGTTTCCACTGAGTTTTGATCTTTTTTAATCTCTTGATAAAGTTTAAATTTTTTTTCATTCAATAAGAGACGAGAATCGTATAAATGAGTAGTTTACAATGTAATCAAGTGGTTTCAGAATCAAGAAAGGCGTCAGAAGATTCACATGTGGCCACCAACAAAACGTCAAATCTGTCTTAGAATCTGACACTGCAACACCTCAATGTGTCGAGTTGAGTAAGGAATCAACAGTGATAGCTCTGTTGATGAAGATACAAGTGATGGAAAGTGAAGATTCAGTAAGAGCAGCTATGGTTTGATATTATATACACTACAATAAATAAAATTCAAGTATCTGAGTCAGCTACTCAATTGCGTAGATTGGCTCTTCCAATAGGTATTTATCCTCGGTTTGATTCTTGGTTCCATTCATAATGCTGAGATAGTGTTGTGTTCTCTCTCTCCAGGACAGAAATCACAGCCTGGTAGTACATCTTTATGCTGAGATGGAGGTTTCTTCAATTGTCTGAGAAATGGGAAAAAACAGAGTGCAAATCATTCAATGACCGATGGAACCCTAGCAAACTCTCTGAAGAGTATGTTTTTCTTTGCTTTATCATATTTTCGTTTCTTTCCAGTGCATGTAGCATATGTATCTAATAATATCTATATTTGATGCTTCTGATATTGTGTTTGCATATTGTGTTTGCAGAACCAAGTTTTGCTTAAGGTCGGTTTAAGTTGATTTACATTTCTGCTTTCTCCTTTTTAGTGTATCTTTTGGTGAGTAAAGCTTTCGTTTAAAATTCTAAGTAAATTCTTTTGTTTAAAGCTTTCTTTTTAGCTGCATGATTAGTCATAACACATCCTTTTTTTTAAATGCTTGGCAGTAGCTAGGAAAGGTACAACTTGGACTTCAAACTCATCGCTATAAAATCCATTATCTCAGCAACATCAAGTCTCCCAAAGAAACGTAAAAACACAGATCCAAAGAACTCTGCAAAGAAAAAAAAATGGCTTCACCATCAACCCTTGATGTCCCAAAAACATTTGAGGATCTCGAAGGAGATTTCTGTAACAAGAAAATCTTGGTTAGGCTGATTCATTGCTGAGAAGCCCGAAACAAAAAGGGGAACATACTCATGGGAGTTGAGTTGCTCCTCATAGACTCAAAGATATTCTCTCAAATTAACGTACCATACTTTTATTGTTAACATTCATCATTAACTCTTACAATGAAACCACCGCAGTCAACAATCATTCAGGGGTTTATCTTGACACACTTCCTTCCCCGCTTCAAAGATGATCTGAAACCCAACACAATTTACAAGCTCAACAGGTTCAGCGCCAGACCTTCCAAATATGTTTACAGAGTCTCACCGCACCAGCACGGGATCAGATTCACCAACAAGACAATCTTCGCTCCTGTTCATGAAGGGGACTACCAGATTGATTCTCAGCAATTTCGTATACGAGATTTCAAAGTGTTCACTGACATTGTTGATAAGCACCAAATCTTTTTGGTGAGCACTTTTTACTCTCTAGACAATATAAATCTTCGACTCTAATGATTTATTTTAACATTAATGATATCATTGGCTTTTTGCGAGTCATCAATGGGGACAACCTAGACACTCAAACACCCAAGGCTGTTGCCCCAACACCTGCTGGTGAAAGATCAAAGGATATGGTCTTCTTGCATGTCCAACTTGAAGAGTAAGACCAAACTAATACCAAACCTATTTATTTAGGCCTCCAAGAAATATGGTGTTAAGTACCTTACTAATCTTTAATTTAACATCGGCGAGACAGCTCGTGTTTATCTGTGGGACAAAATTGCTGCTACCTTCCGAAGTAGGTGGAATGGTAGCAAGACAAAACCGTCAGTAATCTTGGTCACTATTCTCAATTCAAAAACACTTGGAGGTTTGTATATTTTCTTCTTTTTGTTTCATAGTCATATATTAATTTAATTTCGTGTGTATCACTAGCTATATCAATTACTGTCCACTTCTCAGGTGTCGTGAACCTAAGCTCCACAGCCTCCACACGCCTCTTCTTTGACTCGGACATCATTGCGACAGAGAATTATTATCAAGGTAGTTGTGAACCTACCCATCTCTTACTGCAAAGTTATCATGTCTCATGTTCAAACATGTTCGGCCTAGGTTTGAAGCTGATGGAAAAACCCCACCAACTGTCAACAGCTCCTCTGCAGCAGTTACTAAAGTGGAGACCGTGACATTGGACGAAATTCACAAGTTCTTAGAAAATGAGTCACCACAGGTCTGGCTTTCCTCACACATATCTACATTTTTTCTTTTTATTCTTAGTATTTACACCCATATAAATATTCAGGTCCCTAGCTTCATTTGCACTGCAATAATAACAGATGTCATGAAAGAATATGGTTGGTACTTCATCTCCTGCACCACCTGCAAGTAGCAACTAGAAAGGTTAGAAACATCTTTCACTTGCCCTAACTTCAAGTGCAAGAAACCAAACACTGTCGGGCTTATCAGGTTAGGTTCATTTTAAAACAAACACAGAAGCATATGCTAACGGATTACTCATTTTGATTGATCGTATGTGGTATAAATACTGGTTCAAGTTTAAAGTTCGCGACAACAGTGGCAATGAAGGAACCTTTGTCATTTTCGACAAAGAAGCACTGAATCTGGCGGTAAGACATGCACCTGACGTAATGAATGAGATGAGTGAGGTAAGAACAAGCGAAAAATTAAATAGAGCATATCTGTCAGTTTAACTAACCAAATGTTTTATACTATGTAGATTGGTGAAAATGGCTCAAATGAAGAATATGTCACTGCAACACCTCAATGTGTCTTAGACATTGTGGGGCACACATGCAAGTTCCAAGTGAAGGTCAATGACTTCAATTTCAAATCAACTCGCAAGACAGCTACAGTATCCCGCATTATTGATGCTGATATTCAGAATGATCATACCTTGGTCTAACCAACCTTGCAAACCAATGATGCCATTGCAGACGCAGAGGAAAAATCCATTGTGGAGTTGTCAACCGAGTCTCAGAACGAGAAGAAAGATGGCAAGCGCCCACGTCTCAGCTAAGCTCCCCAGCATTGAAGTTTTTTATTTTAGCTTTCCCAGTTTTTTATTCTAGTTTTCCAAGTTTTTATCATTAATACTTTGTTATCTGAACTAAGATTCTAGCTAAGTCTATTTTGTTTTTTTGTTCACATCATAACTAAAATCCCAATTATGTATTAGATTTTTCTTAGTTATTTTATGCTTTGCTAGCTATTTTTAATTTCTCAATCAAACCTCATGCCTCTCAGATATTGGGGTGATGATGTCTTTACCAAAAGGATTGATTGTTCATGTGACGTTGAACTTCACCATTTTGATTGTCTTTATACCTATTATTTTGGAATAAAAACAAAGGTATTTATACAGATTGAATAAAATCACTAAGAATATTTTACATTTTTCTTATTGACGCCATCTCTTAAACTCATCACATCAATTCCTATTATCATGTTTCCAGTTTACATAAGAGAAGGTCATTTAGACAGTAATGGAATTAAGCTGGTTTTAAAGCAGATCATGCAAGATTCGTTTCAATTTCAAAAACAAACCAAAGGGTTAACAGATTTATCAAACATATGAAAATACTGTGAAAGCAGTCTGTAGAGAGTTGAAGGAAACTCGCTATTGGTATAGTGACCACTGACGTTCTACAATCAGTTCCCAAACAAAGATGATGATGGTGCCTTCAAATTGCTCCATGAGCCTCTTGATCTTATTTAAGAGAAGTTAACAACAGAGAAAATTAAATAAGAACAACAAAAATCAAGGTTGAATTCGATGCCTATCCAAGGCTGAATTTGATTGGTTTCCTTTCCACCACACGTGTGGAGGTGTGCGAGAATCTACCAAGAGATTTATCTGGACTACAGCCTGTAAAGTTTGGTGATATACTTGATGGTTCTCTGAATACCGATTTCTTGGTTGGTAAGTTCTTTATCTTAAGATAGTTAATATCGCCTTAAGTTTTTTTTTTTGTAGTTAAATTGTATGTTCTGTTTGTACAGATATCATTGGCCAAATTTTTGAAGTCTCTCATGTTGAAGTTGTTTCTGTCAACGGGAAAGACACACCAAAAGTGGCAGTATGGTAGGTGGCTTGTTAAATAGGTGACTTCAACTATGTAACTAACCTAGAAGGTGGTTCTCAAATCTTAATCATCACATGGCAGAAATTCAAAACTTCAAATCGAAGTAAGTATACTCTTTTTTTTTTTGAAACACAAAGTAAGTATACTCTATGAAAATAAATGCATATGTATTTATTGTTTGGCGTAAAACGAATTAGAGGTTACTCTGATTTCTATCCACTTATGTTTGTAAGCTCACAAGATATCTATCACAGAAATTTGAATTCACAAATGGAGAGTTGATGCAAACTTGAAGATTTTTTTTAATTAATACCCTATTTACATTTTATATCTATGTTTTGTGTTTCTGAATCTTGATAAAGAACAATTTATTATAAGTTTTCTAATTATGCATCTTAATAAAATTATCGAGCTTTTTAGTTATAATCGTTTATCTATTATTTTTTCATATTTAGATGATACCTGGGAAAAGGTTTCCGGATTTGGTTATTCGTGTGCTTGAATTCGTACTGAACAAAACATCTACAAGTCTCCTTGGAGTCTATTGTTGTGCAGTTTTTCTCGCAGACATCAAAACTCGATGTCGTCAATGATGCAAACAAAATTAATAAAGAAGATTCTTTAGATGTGAAAGGATATTATAGGACAAATAAGAAAAGAGATCGAGAAACACAAGGAGGCTGGACATAGAAATTCGAATTAACCTGTCCAGAAAATCCATGAAGATTTGGTTGCATGATGTTATTTTTTCGGTTTTACCTACAGGCGATTGAATCTGAAAAACAAGCTCTGAAACTGAAGATGGTATAGAAATGAAGAATTATCGTATTGATAAGAATCATTGAAGAGTGGGGTAGATCGAGCGGATTGACGTTTAGCGTAGAAACCCTAACCTTTTTTATCAAAGTATTTGAAATTGGAAATAAGAAATCTCTAGATTCTTGTTTTTGATTCACGACAAGTTGCAAATAGAATTGGGACACTAATTAATTTTTATCATTGGTCTGGGCTACTTATTTTTTCTTCATTTCAAGAGCCCATTATTTCTTCTGTTCACAACATATGTCTCCAAATCCATGAATTTGCTCGAGAAGATATGAATTTTATTGTTTGACGTGTAATACTGAGTTGCTGAGATGTCCTCAACACACATTGCCAGCCTTGACTTAGAATTTTCATAGTTCTGGCCTTGAAATGCCTGCGCATACAAAGATGAATAAGAACTCAACATTAATACACTCATATAAACAAATAATCAACAACCTCAAAAACAACCATTGCACCTTAGAGAGCAAAGCTTACCAACTTTATAGGTGGATTGACCAAGGGCCTCGATGAAGGGCATAGATTCGATATCACCTGCTACAGGTAATATCAAATAATATAAACATATTAAATTAAAATAATATATGAAATAATGTTTTTTGTCAAATCTAAAATAATGCNAGTATGTTTTCTAGAGTCTATAAAAAAACAAAGTAACAAAAATGGCCTCACGACAACCTAGGAAGAGAAATCATGCATCAGCTGACTCAGAGGGCGTTAGAGGTACAACTCCACTCCAATATTTTGCTTACCATAACACATTAACATCATATTAACCTCTAATCATGTAGTACAAACATCTAGAGATCGCACAAGCCCTGAAGAAGCAAAGACTAAAAGAGCGAGAGAAGACTCATCTTCACTTCACACACAAAATCCCGTGCTAGCATGTTATCATTGTAAGAACTGTTTACAACAAAATTCTACCCAAAATTGAAGCAAATTGAAATTTACTAACTTACTTGCAATGAAATAATCTTTCATAGGTGGGTGCGACGTATGTGAAAAATTAGGTAGGCTACTCAAACTAATAAATATTGAGTTCAAACATTGTGGCCAAAACTGATTATTTAATTTAAATGTCCTACAGTCTCACACAAGAATGCACATTTAAAGCAGAAAATCGGTCATGCTTTCACAACAATGGCGAAAACGTGGTAGGCAAAGAACTATTCAAGCAACGGGGTTAACACCTCAATATACACATAATGCAGATCCAAACCACCCTACAAGTTCAGCTCCTTCCTCAGCAACCAAAACAGGTACCATACACTTACGCACACCTCATTCTAAATCATTATATCAGATCAAGACATTAGCAACTGTTCCTCTACTTCTCATGCAGTTTCACAACAGATGCTAAGGACCATGCCTAAAAAATATTATGACTGTAAGTTACTTATCACATACATTTCTTTATTTTTTAACAAAAACAATATGACTCTAAATTACTTACAATGGATATGGGATAAAACAGGTGGATGTACAATATGCTCTGAATACAGTAACACTACTATTATCAAGAAAACTTAAACCCCAAACTAGCTCATTACTCAACTTATTTACATACCAAACCAGTATATT